GATGCACGCTTACAGTAATTGCGCCGCATATGCGCTTCGGGTGAGGCCCCCTCCGCGATGTGAGGCCCCCTCTGCGTGTAGGGAGGGGCGGACCTGCTTATTGTCTTAAATGGAATAAGTAAACTGTTTACTGTTTTAAATATTTATCAAGTAATCACAATTTTGATTTGAAACTAGCGATAGAGACCGTAAACTTATAAAGAATATGTTTGCTGGAAGTGATACCGAGTTAATGAAGTGATAGGAAGATTATTTTCTCGTTAACTTCTATAAAACCTGATGTGTTCGACCAGAGGAGACGCCCCCTCTTGGATAGAGAGAATGCACATTCAGGGAAGTTGCAGGAATAGACCAGAAAGATAATGATTCACTGCATAAACACATATCAAAAATAATAACTGCAACGTAAGGATAATGATGTGTTGCTGTATATCAAGGAAGTCATCACAGGATTATAATTCAGACACATTTTAGATTGCAGTCATTGTTAATATTACAATTGTTAGTTTTGCTTTGTAGTTCTTACAACATATTTCCACTGAAACTCTGTAACATTCACACCCTTCTCTGCCAGCTCCTTGAAATAGAAAATAAAGAAATTAAAAGCAAAGCTCACAATATGGTTTTTTTCTTCAGGAAAATGTGCAAGAAATTCAGGAAAATAATAATAAAATAAATCTTAAACTTACACCAATGTCGTACAATTTTCGTACTTCAATCTCAATTACATTTTAAAAATAAAAATAAGGGAATTGGACGATCCTTCTTAATGGATAATCAACTTCAAAGTCCTCCTGATTACTCACAAAGCCCTCAACAATCAGGCCCCCCCCCCCCACCACCTCACAGACCTGCTGCACCACCACACCCCTTCCCGCTGCCTCCGCTCATCAGAAGCCAACCTCCTATCCATCCCCACCCGCATCGAGCACCGGACCTGGGGGGACAGAGCCTTCTCCGTCGCTGCCCCCTCCCTCTGGAACTCACTCCCACAACCCATCAGAGACTGCACTGACCTCACCACCTTCAAAACACTCACCTCTTCAATCTGGCTTTTAATGTGTGATTGTTTTTGTATTATTTGACTTTAACTATATTTATTTATTTGTTGTTCTTTTCACTATATCTGTAAAGCGTCTTTGAGCACCTGGAAAAGCGCAAACAAAATAAATCTATTATTGTTATTAATAGCAGAGTGGAATATTTGATACGATCAAATAAGGTCATATGGATGCAAAAATAAGGCTGCATACTTCTTTCAGTATGTAGTGCAACTGCACTAGCATGCAGAATACACACAATTGGGAACAAACGTCTTATATCCAATACGTCACTCATCTGGAGGAGAGAACCAGGCGTGCGTAGAGCAGAGTGGAGAAGTGCGATCATAGAGCCTGCCGAGGCTATAAATGACTTTGATTTGTTGTTTAAATAGGGGGCCTACAAAACCTATCAGCCCCAGGGCCTGATGGCAGGTTAATGCGGGCTTGGGCGTAGGCGGGCGGCGTAGCCGACGCAAGCGACGTAGCAGACGTAAAAGTCGGGACGCCTTCGGTACGCCTTCTTTGGTCTCAGGTTGGTAAGTAGTGGCCTTTAAGCATCAGGGCCGGTGATCTACAGCTGTCAAATAGTGAAACAATACTTAAAAAACTCAAGATAGGGATCTCTCTTATCAACTTTCAATTTTTACCGTAACCAATTTCACAATAACCGCAGATTTCTCAGCAAGACCATTGCTTTGGGGAAAGTGCCGACTAGAGGTGATGTGGGTAAACTCCCATATTTCAAACCCTGTACGATTATCAGATTCACAATAGCCTGTGGTATGTAATCTGGCAGAGGCTGCTTTCAGCAGGCACGTGCACATTTTGGCACATTTCCACTACAGCGCGGAGCTCGCTTTCAGCATGCAGAGCCGTGCGGGGCCCGTTTTTGGTTGCGTTTCCACTTAGCCTAGTACCGGCTAGCGGGTACTATTCCACAGTTTTCTGGCCCCATAAAATCGAGGTTCTTTCCGGGCCAACAACCAGGCTGAGTCGGGCTGAGTATGCTAAACTAGAGAGAGAATCGCTGGTAAGGGGGCTACAACTATAACAAGATGAACATATTTGACCATGATTCAATTGTAATACACGTTTCAAAATGATGTTTTTCTGGGGTTCTCATTGAAGATGACGTCACGGCTCCGCCTACACTGCGTTACTATAGTAACTACCCCAGTTCCTAAACTGTAATGGAATCGCAGCATTAAAGTGAGCCGGGCCTAACGAGGCCTAGCCATACCGAGCGAGGCCGTGTAGTGGAAATGCGCCAATAGACATCAAAGTGGGCTTGAGCCCCTGCCCTTTTTCTTCCTCCAGAGAAAGTGCCCTTTTTTCCCCCTTTTTTATTTTTTATAAATGAATATCTACTGCTGTTTGCACACAGTTTCCCTTTCCAACAATATATTGATTGAATACAACATTTAAATATCAGGTCGGGAGATTAGACTGTGAAGTTCTGTAGCTCTCCCTCCCTCCACGGCTGCATCTCAGGTCGATTATTTTCATTTCCTCGATCCTCGGTCCTCTGTATCACCGGAAGTTGATTTGTCTGCGCCATCTTGAGTACCGTCCCATGGCGCTTATTTCTGCCGGAGGAGCGAGGAGCGAGGAGTGATAATGGAAGAGCGATAATCGAGGAACCACCAGACCATCCTCCGATGAAATCCTCAGATACTCGCTCCGCCCCCCTACTGTGTATCGCTCACTGATTGGACGATGCAGCGCATGCACTGATCTGATGCTTCTTGACATGAGAGCAGTTTCCCAGCGGAGTGAAGAAAATACATGAACCTCACGGGAGTCACTCCTCAGTCTATACTGTGTGTTGTTTCAATTAATGTATCATTTAGTTACAAATATGTGATATATCTGAACAACAAAGTGGTCAATGTTTTATTCATTTATTGGAAACATTTTCATGATCGCTTTTTTCGTTTATACATTTTAAGAATGGTGTTTATCTTTTTTGAGAACGAGTTCTTATTTTATTTAATGTATTTAGGTCTACAACAGATGACACAAATGTTTGTGTCAGTAAATGTGTACTAACAGAGGCGGGGGTGTGCGTGGAAATAACGGACAGAGCTGGCTGCTGTCAGACAAACAGCTGTGCGGCGTCATCACAAACGGATGTCGCTTCACGTGACACTCCGGAAGAAAGGACGTCCCATTGCTCTTAAAACTAATTTCCCTCTCGTGGTCTCCTTGCATCTCTCCATGCTTTCCTGGTGGGAGGGACTAAACGCAGGGAAACGACGCAAGTGAGGGACAAGGATTCCATTTCATCGACCTGAGAAGCAGCCCACGTCTCCTGCACAGCGGTGCGGACATCGGCAGTCACTTCAGACAGACAGATAGCAACACCTCCCACTACTGTCCCATGTCATGCCGGCTTTTCTTGGCTTACTTTGAAGGCGAGAGCATACATGCCAACCTTTCCAAATCCAAAAGAGGTAGGTTTGCGCGCGCAAATGTGCACGCCCATATTAGGTAATCAGAAGAAATGGAACCCCAGTAATTAGATGTATAAACCATGTATTTAACATATATTGCATCATTTTATGCATTTTTCAGAAAAAGTGGTAGTTTGGTAAACAGTGACATCAACGACACGTTTGGTCTTTAAATGCCGGAAAAGTAAAAAGAATGGGAGATAAATATCCCAAAGTCTCCACATTTTTTAATATTTTGAATGTGTGTCTGGTCCTCTTTCAGTTGAGACAGTGTAGATGAAGGATGTGTCAGGATGTAGAACTCTTGTGTGGACATTGGATAAAGCCAGGTTCATATTCTTGTTTCATATTGTTGACATATTAGAGTCAAAGGTTTGCACAGAGCGAAATATCTTTGTGTTGCGCGATATATCAGAAAATACTGCATTAAAAAAGTCATATCCTGCATTTTTCTACTGATAAATTGTGATATAAATAATGTACAGGCTTTCAGATTGCTGTAGTTCACTAAACAGAGACATTAACGACATATTTGGTGTTGAAAATGTCAGAAAAAGTGAAAGAATGGGAGATAAATATCCCCAAATCTCAAAATTGTATTATATTTTGTGAGTGTTGGTGGTCCTCTTTCAGTTGAGACACTGTAGGATGTTTCAGGAAAAGACCAAACACTGGATGTCTTTCAGTCGCCAACATGTGTTTTCGAGACACTGATATTAACGTCTCTGTTCCCTCACTCATTTGGGAGTGATTACCCATCAGCCCCGGGGGTGCAGAGGAAAGGCAGCATTACCCCCGGTCTGCACGTTGTTTCTCTTTCAGAAACACAGAGGACTGTTTGTATGATGCGATCACAGACACGCTGCAAACGGTGTCCGCCAAAAGTCGAGTCCAGTGTCTATGGAGTGTCATTTTTTTATTTGTTATAGTTTGGGAAGATTGAAAATCGGTAGGCAAAATCAGCTAAGTCGGTAGGCGGTAGAAACATGTCAAAAGCGGTAGACTAGTACCGCCCAAATCCAATAGTATGAAGCTGCAGCGTCGGAGACGACACTTGTAGAGCTACACACACAGGTCCCGCGTCACGGCGGCACGTGACGGGGTCCCACGTGACCCGCGTCACGTGACGGGAACCATATTCTGTTGCACGTTCACATGAATGTTTATATGTATATTCTGTTAATTTAGTTGAGAATTTCAAAAATGAATAAAAATGAATTTCAAAAATATAGTCTTTTATATGTATATTAAACAACACTGTTAATTTAGTTTTGGGTATGTTTATAATTCTCGTTTCATTATTATTCAAAAGAAAACAACACTGTTAAACACTGTTCCTTCTACAGTATCATAATTCTCGTTTCATTATCATAATTCTCGTTTCATTATTATTATTAATAAATCAAAGGTGTCTTCGAAGAGGTGCTAGATTACTGAAAAACAACTGTTAGTGTGTTCATGCACCAGCCTGCAAAAGATAAACAAGCAGTTTGACCGAGAGGCATTTCAGTTCAGAATACATTTTTATTTATTTTTATTGCGGGGTCTGCTGATTCTTCACTGGGGGTGAGGCGGGGTCTGCTGATTCTTCACTGGGGGTGAGGCGGGGTCTGCTGATTCTTCACTGGGGGTGAGGCGGGGTCTGCTGTTCCCTCTCTGGTCGTGGCACTCTGAATATTGGCTGAAGGGTTCCCTCCAGCAAGCTTCTGGCCTCCAGAGTCCAAAAGGCAAACCTTTGGCCATGCCTTTGAAACAATAAGAACAAGACGTCATCTAAAGTATTGCATAGGGAAAGGCTAAGGCATTGGTGCACAATTGATATGCATTAATAATCTCAACAGATATTGCCATCCAGAGTCTTACAGCTCTTGTTACTGATGGTCTACTGATCTGTACATGGTTAACCTAATATAATAGATCATCTACAAGTGACCCTCAAAATAAAGTGTTACTTAAATCAAAACACACATATTGTTAAGGGCTTTCATACCCTTGTATTTCAAACAGCTCCATGAGAAGAAGACACCACCACTTCCTAATCAAAGGCATGTCCCTCTGAATGAAATTAGAAAGTGACAAAGACAATTTTTGATTCACAATGTCCACAATAAATCATTTTTCTTCAACATGAACAGTATGATGCAACATAAGCAACACTTTAAGTAGGCATTTACTTCTTTAGTAAATACAAATCCTAAACTAACCTCCTGGAATTGAAACCCGGCGTTTGTAACAATGGACAGAGTGTACTGGAACAGAGAAGATGGAAAACAAAGCATTATATTTACAATGTTTACAGAAGCCTGCAAACGTGCCAACTGATATCCTACCATAAGCATAAAAATCCCGCAGTCATTTCCACAGATCTGGCGTGGCAAGCCCTAAAATCAACATCAAAAAAAGATAACATTAAATACATGACTGATAGATAAACCCCAAGTCTTCTCCGTCACATGATGATTTGTACATGATGTGCAGATGATGGGGATTGCTGGATCTGGGATGATGGGGGTTATGGCAGAGTGCTTTGCCTTGCACAAAGCGAGGTGCTTTACAAAGCCAGATTTGCGAGTATGCATGGATTGGCAGTAGCAGCAGTGAAAATGATAGTCTGGTCGGCAATTTAATCCACATCTGTGAATGGTATACCCTTAAACATAAGAACATAGAATTGTAGTATTATTATTTTGTGATCATATTATTTAAAAGTGTAAATTATGAATACCAAACATCTGGATCAAGTAACTGGTCACCACAAACAAATCATAGGACTTGTTTTGATGTATTGCTCAAATGGAACTGATCATAACATTTAGGCTGCTTTTAATGCAGACACATTGCAACTCCATTTGCATTTCACAAGAGAATGTAAGCTAACTTTACCTTCATGGAGAACTGCACGCTGGAAGTGGCTCTCGAGATGGCTTTTCACCTTGCAGTGTTTTGTTGGAGAGAATAAACGAGAGACACAGAACGGGCAGTGGAAGTCATTGCAACACGTCGTGCACCGTTGAAGGTCCGGCAAGGATCTCCCCTCTCGGATTGTAATATGCATCTTGAAAAAGAGAGAGCCTAATTGGTCAAACTGAACATTTTGAAACAATTTCACAGACAGACATAAATTAGGCTTAATTGTTAGATTCTGACACGACAGATTCTAACCTACATAATAGGCCGACATAACTGACTAAAACACCTCATGCAATATTACAAAACATGTCAAAATGATGACACTGTCTGATAAACGGTAAACAGGCAGTCAGCACAGTGAAGATTATTTACAATGAATTCAAATTGTAATACAATGACTATTAAAGAAGCATTTACACTGAAGACAGAACTTAGGCTACTGCTGATTTAATGTAGTGGACATATTGACATGCTTTTGTCATCCGTTGAAGTTTAATTAATTAGCTGACTATAATTAATCATTAGGGTTGGGAAGTTTACTTTTTTAAATGTAGTAGGTTACAGATGAGTAATTACCCTGTTAAAAATGTAATAAGTAATGTAACTTGACTATGTAACTATTTGTATTGAAATTCTAATGTTAATTATGGTTATTTTATGTTTTTTGTGAGTCACTTTGGATAAAAGCCTCTGTCAAATAACATAACCATAACATACAGTTTCATTAAACAAATAAACAAAATGGTTAACAGTTGGTTTTGCAGCGAGTCATCATAGGCTAACAGATGACATTTAGCACTTGTTGCTTGTATGGCTGTTCAATACAACAGAATAGTTGTTAACTTAAAAAAACAAAACATGATTCACATTACTCACACTATTACTGTAATTAGTGATTAAATTAATCAACTATGACACCTAGTTGGGCTTGCCAAAATCACGCTAGTTTCATTAAACAAATGATCAAATATGCTAACGAAGCTAATGCTTTTGCTAATGCTTTTGCCGAAAGCTATAGCTAATGAATAGTTGTTTTTAGAGACTTTAATACGGTTAGAAGCTATCATAAGCAAACAGATGTTTGTTTGTATTGCCTTAACACTATCATAGTTAATGTTGGCTAATCACACTTCATTTCAAGACACCGGAATTGTTATTAATGTTAAACAAATAAAACTGTAAAAGCACTTCACATTACTCACATTTTCTGCGTTGACGTTCACATTCATGTGAACGTGCTCCGTCACGTGCCGCCGTGACGCGGGACCTGTGTGTGTGCTCGTGACGCGGGACCTGTGTGTGTGGTTCTACAAGTGTCGTCTCCGACGCTGCAGCTTCATGCTACTCCCCAAATCGGTAGGGTTGGCACTTGGCAGGTATGGGTGAGTGGCACTGGCGGCACATATCAGACCCGGGCCGGGGGGCGGGGCCACATGACCGGGCCCTTTAAACCCAATAAAGCTTGACAAAAATATCGGGAGTCCGGGGTGGTAATCTGACGCTCGTGCGTAAAAAGTCGCTCAGTCAGTAAGATTACAATTTAAAACAATGTTTGAAAGAAAAGTAACTAAAGAAAAAGGTGTAATATTTAAAGGGATAGTGGAAATCTGCGAATTTTGGGTTTAACTTATGTATTTTTATTAAAAAGAAGCATATTAAACAATTTTTTTTAATTTCATCCGCCTAGTTTCATTTTATTTTCAATTTTACTGCGCCCTCTCAATGAAACGAAATACTTCGGGAATCGTCGGGAATCTTCGGGTGATGACGAGAGCTCAGGAAGACGGGCACAAACAATAGCGGACATTCAATAGCATTTGCATGTGAATAGCCGACCTTTATTATGGTGAATAGATGTGTTTTGTATGGCTGTAGTGCGACAGAAAAATTCTACGTGACACAACGACATTGGATTAACCTTGAGATGCGTTTTTATTCCGTTGAACACAACTTTTGATCACAAATCAAAAAAGGTAAGACGTAATTATTGTAATATTTTTGGAACCGGATGTTGTTTACTTTCTCTTTTCTGGCTGATAGCTCCAGGAATTCGAGGTCTTACAGTGATGACATTACATGTGTGGAATCTGTGGAGTCTCAGCTTTAAATCGTATATCTTGTTTGTGCAGTTAAGATAGTAATAAGGGCATTTCTACCGTGTGTTGTGTGTAAAAAAGCGTTAGCATTAGTTAGCATTGTTTCGCTCAATGCTAATTCAAAGGCTTGGTATTACTCTTGTGTTTTTTCTAGCTAACAATTGTTCTTATTGTCAGTTAGCGGAGTTTCTTACCTTTAAAAGGGTATGAAACATTAATAGTTTCATAAATGTTAAGAAGCCCTGAGACATGTGAGAGAAAAAAAACTGTGGGAGGGGTCCACTGGGGGGACCTTCGGCCTTAACTGGTTAACAATGATTAATATTTGTAAAGGCTACAGGTGATCTTAAGATGCGTGAGCTATGCTTAGGGACCTACCAGTCAAGATTATTTGTGCGTAGGGGTGCATCATCTGGCGCCTGGTCCTGGTCATCCTCGCCATTGCCCATGCCGTGAACCATCACCTCGGGCTCGGGCTCGAACAAATAAGGACGTAATGGTCCATCTTCTGGCTCAATATTGTCACCATCGTCGCTTACTGAACCGGATTCAGATTCAGTTCCTAAAACGACATTTTCGTAGGAAAGCCGAGAGGATGTTTCTGACTCGCTATCATCACTGGATACCTCGTACAATCCTTCTTCTTTGTCTGGTATATTTGCCCTTCCACGTTCATTCTGCATAGACGCCATGGTTTGTTATCGTATCGTCTTCCTGAGTTTTCGTCACTTCCGGTTAGGCTGAGAAACATTTCGTTTCTAAAAAACTTCGGGGAAGCTGCAATAAAGTGCTTCTAACATGCGTAAGGCAATTATTATATTTTTTTAATCAGGTGTGATTGTTTTGGTACGTAATTATGCTTGTATATAAGTTAAAACGAAACTATTTGAGGTTCCATTTCCACTATCCCTTTAAGATTTCGTTTTTACAAAGGGTATAGAAACGAAATATATAACAGAGATAATAATGATATAACATGACATAAAGTCCAACAAACCACAAGGACAATGAAAACATAGCCTAATAAAATGACTACATTTCTGACACACCATTCACCATGGACAGCCACCATGAGAGCAGAGCAGTGTAAAATTGGCACGGCGGCCCATACATTCACGTACAAGTAGGCTACTGTACAAATTAAATTTGAAGTGTACTCACCACTACTTGAATGGTACTCGGCGAGCCTTGCGCTCCGCGAACTTGTCCACAATACGCTGTATGTCCAATTTCTTGGCTCGGTCACTTTCGATGGACAGCAAGAACAGTCCACTCAGTCTCTCCTGTCCCATCGTGCTCCTCAAATAGTTTTTGATGAGTTTTAATTTGGAGAAAGAGCGCTCGGCGGTTGCCACGGTGACAGGAAGAGTCAGAAATAAGATGAAGGCTGTGCAAACCTCACTGAATGTAGATGTTACTGCTGGGTTGTAAACAATGAGCATTTTTACCAGATCCGCGACAGATTTTAGTTTCTGTATTTGGTCCCTGAAACAGGTTCTGAAAGAAAGCAGCTGGCCAGGGAAGCTGGCGGCGATGTCCCGACTGTAGTGCTCTCTAAGCCGCTGGGCAGCTTGGTGTAAATCCTCATCCTTTGCTTGCAGTAGTGTGTTGGGGTGAATTGCCTCAAACATGTTCACAGTTTCATTTAAACTGGTGAATCTTTGGGACAGTTGCTGGATGATTATATCGAGACATGCATTGAAAACGGTCACCCGAAAGTTGCTCTCTGCGTCAGTGAGGCGGCTGTCTTCAGAAAGTTCATCAAAGTGTCTCTTAACTTTCCTGGCCCTGGTTGTTTCAAACTGTGTTTGACTTCCCCATTTAGTAGCCAGGGCAAGAGTGTCCGGTACTTCTTCACCTTGCGGCGCAGCCAGTAAGGAGCCGGAGGGGGAGGGGTGCGGCTGGTCAAGCGTCAGGCCTGGCTCTCCTCTAGACGAGCAGCTAGCAGCTAGCAGCTGCTGAGTCGTCCCTATTATCATCATCACTACAGCCGAGAGACAGAAAAGGAAATAAGCTAGGCGGCCGAGCTACACGAAGTAACAACAACCATATGATATCAACATTTACCACAAACTCACATTTTCTTGTTGACAGTGTGTGGCCGTGATTGTAGCCTACCTGTAAATCTGGCTAACCCCCACTAACGTTGTTGGCGGGCTGGGGCTCGGGGATGAAACACGGCTGGCGAAAAAAATATCCATCGAGCTTGGACAATTTGGCTTTTCCTTGGTCCTCCTTTTTTATCTTTTTCTTTGCATTTTGTAGCTCCACTTTTGTGTTTATAACTGCTCATGCTTAGGCAGTGCTCTGTTGAATGACAAGTGATTGATGATGACGTTGACGTTCATTTACGTATGGTGTTGATGGACGGCTGTTGATGACGATTTTACCCAAAATACATTTGGAGACAATAGAAGGAATTCACTTGCCATTTTTCATGTTTTAATGTTAAATGTGAGTGTGAAAATAGCAGAACAAGTTCAACTCGTATTATAGGCTACAATGCTTTATACCTAATATGACCACGAACGTCAGTGCACTCAGTGGCGCTAGGCAGCAGGGCCCGCCCGAATATCTCGGGGGCGGAGCCTGCTGCCTCGGCGACGGGCCCCCATTGGGTCCCGACCGTCCAGGGCCCGGGGAGCCCTGCCCCTACAGCCCCCCCTGAAGCCCCGCCCCTGGTGAGTGGTGATGAACAAATTACTAAACTGCCAGTGCCTCGAGTTTACAGCTAATTAGCTAAAAGACAATAACAAATATAGTTAACTAAGGTAGGCTACTAGCTAATGGATAAGTTAGCTCAAGGTTTAGCTAAGGCAATTTATCATGGGCATACAGGCTAATGTACTGTACTTGAGGGGAGACACTACAGGTGAATACAGTAAAATGTGTATCTAATAACGTCATCACAATCGCCACATTGATATGCAAATTAGGCGTTAACTAGGCCTAATTAAAATGTGCTAATTTGCATGCAGTTACCAAGGCATTGCCGTTGGAAAGGATAAAACACATCACCTCACAACTTCCCCAGATAGTTACTTACGTCAAGTCAGTATTTCCCCCTGAAATGTTATGTTTAAATGCAGATTAGCTTTAAATCTATAGATCAATTCAGACATGGTAGTAAAACGAACACCATTTATATGTGTTTCTTGGAAGTTTTATTTCCATTAGAGTGAAAGAAAACATGGAAGCAAAATAGACCAAAAGTACATGAAAAAACGATCTTTTTGCCTGTAATGTCCTTAATCAGGTAAACAGTAACTTCATAATTTTGATTGTTGGCTGCTCATTTAATAACTATTAATTGTACTAGTTTGTTGTCTGCTCTTGTGCGTAGTGAATACTAAAGAAGACCATTGTCTCTGTGTTAGCTGATTATTTTGTAGAATTCTGTTGAGTATTAAACAATTGCGTGAGTGTGAGGGTATTAAAATAAATTGGTCAGTAAGTCAGAGATGTGCAACTATATTTAACTTTTTGTTTTAAATTTTATTTAAATAAATGATTATGGGAAGTGCCCTTTTTCTCACTTGAGCACCCGCCCACCAAAGTGTCTGTGCACGTCCCTGGCTTTCAGTGAGTGGGTGCAGAGGCGTGTGTATCTTGAAAAACCTGC